TTATGAAGATTGTTGAATATTAATGAGATTTAAAAGTTAGATGCTTGGGTACGACAGTGGAAGTAATGAGTTTAATTTTCGATTACAATGTTGTGGATATGTGTTGCTGTGAAAGAATCTTTTATCAGAAAGTCCATTGAAATATTGGATTCATAATATTACATGAAAGAAAAAGCGTATTCACTTTCTTCGAGAAAGTAATTTTTAGAAGAAATAATGAAAATTGTCAAAGATAAATACATTGAAAGGAAGTCTGTAGTGGACAATATTTAAAATCCTACATTTTTTTTTTACCATACAGGCTATAAATATATGGTTGTTAAGAACACTCTACCACAGTGCTGGGAAGCTAAGTTCACCAGATCGACTAGAGCAGGTAGCAAGATTCTCCACCATGAGGTTTATTCCACAATCCACCACACTACGCCCAATAGCACAAGCAGTAGTAAGTAAACATCAGTCGAATCTCACATTCAGTTGAATACACTGAAGTACATATATTTTGAAAAGAGAGAAGGAGAATCATCTATTCATTTTTAGAAAGTATTTTCCAAAAAACCTACAATTTTCAGGAGAAAGCTGCTTACATAATTCATTAACATTCCACCTGCTATACATTTGGAACACATTGAAAGCATCAATAAATCATTATTAGACCACCACTAGAAATCTGAAAGCACTTGACGGCAGTTTTATCCTAGTATGGGACTCATCCGCGACTCCTGCACGTTGAAAGATTCAAACTCAGGACCTTCGGTTTTACGAGCGGACGCCTAACATCTGAACCACTGGGCTGGCATTCAACGGTGTAAATTTCCAACTTTGATCAGTCTACAGATTTTGCACAACCTTACCCATTTATCTTCGGTAGTTACTGCCTACACCTGACAGGGTTGAACTCCACTAGTCATGTATTCTCACTAGAACTCCGAGGATTTCCCCACGAACCTAGTCACTGGTGAGCACATTTTGCGATTTTTTCAATAAGAGTTATGGAGATCGGTGTTTTTAAACTTTGAAATTATCAATCAATCATTGTTAGACCACCACTAGAATCCTGGAAGCATTGAAAGACGGCCGTTTGGTCCAGGTATGGGACTCATCAGCAGTGCGCATCAATTACCCCTGCACCTTGAAGGATTTAATTACTCCTCTCAATAAACAGTTCAGTGCCACTTTATAGAAACTCTCAGAAGCTCAAACAATTTTCAGTGCTTGATCTACCCTTTATTTTCCAAAAGAATTAATAGTAAATCTTCAACGACCTTGATAATATTTTGACCTCTTTTTCTACAAATTCTAATAAGAATTTGGTGAGTTGGAATTTTATGTCCACTTTTCCCTCTAAAATTTCGTTACATCAAGCAATCACGGTGAAATAAATCTCCGTTTTGTTAAACTTTAAATTCCGAACTTCTTCCCCATGGCACAGAACTTATTCGTTATTGATTGATAATTGATTTCTAACATTATGTTAATACTTGGGGAATAGTTCAACACATTAGCTTAAATATACAATAAGTTCATCATATTCCGCCAATGTTATCATTCTTGAGTTATTCCAATCCTATAGAAGAAGCAAGTGCATGAAATGTCTTTAGAATATATATTCTCTCAAATTCGTTCAAATTTGTGTGAGTAAACATGTTAGAGATGGTGGAGAAAATTTATAGCTCAGGTGGATGATTGTGGTGGTGTTTGGTTTTCTGAACTGGATACTTTGGTTGTGGAGCTTTCATTGTTCTTCTGAACAACATCATCAGCACAAACTTCAGATAGAATTGAAGCATTCGAATTTCTCCACGTTTGACCTGTAACTTGTTATGCTAACCTCGATCTTGATTGGTTGTTCTTGACCTGTTGATCGCGGTTAGCTACAGGTCAAACGTGAAGAAATTCGACTAATTCACTTATATCTGAAGCTGTGCTGATGATGTTGTTCAGTAGAAGAACAATGAAAGCTCCACAACCAAAACAACATTCAGCTCATAGAACCAAACACCACCACAAATATGTTAGACTTATTAGTTAAATAAATAATTATATATATTTATGTCTGCTCATAATCATACTCCATCGTCTAAATATATAATTGACAGTACTTTCTGTCATTATAATAAATCATCAAATAAAAACAATCATCAAGAAAGAATTTATTCTCTGAAAAACACTTACTTACAAAATGTCGGAAAAAATTTCACACAATTGAATATTGAAAAAAAGATGTGGATTTTTCTTTTATTAAGCCTTAATATGGTTTTTTATTTATTAACAACCTATTTAAATGACATCATTTTAATTCCCTTCACAGTGTAATAATTTAATAGACACCAAGTTCACTTTGTTGATATTGTCACACACTTATCTAACTCTGATATAGAATTGACTCCATGCTTTTTAATCAACATTTTCCTACCGAGTTATTTTTTCTGGTTAGCGTTATATTAGCAAGTTAATATTTTACATTATGGGGTCGCTAACTCCATGCCTAATCGTTCTCCTTTTTCCTTGATTGGAACTGGAAGTAACCATATAGGAAGTCCAGCTGGAGTTGTCCAAATATCGTCAGAAATACCCTACTATGGGAGAGAACAAACCAGAAGAAGCGCTCGAGGTGAATAGGACACACACTGAGGAAATCACCTAGTTGCATCACAAGACAAACTCTCACCTGGAATCATCAAGGCCAAGGAACACATTACACCTAGAAATGGAGACATATATGAGAAGAATGAACACCAATTGTGTACAACTGAAAAGGAAGGCCTAGGAGATTGTCCGTTAAAGAATACCGGTCGGCAGTCTTTTCCCCACTGGGAGTAATAGGAGTAAATAAGTAAGTAAATGAAAAATTCTCTTGAATAATCTTAACTTTAACATAAACTAAATAATGTTACGTCTATTTTACTACAGGATACATAATTTTTCAATGTTTAAAAATTCTTTTATCCAACGAACATCAAGCAACTTTTTAAAAAAAAATTAATTCTGTTTTTTATCTAACACTATTTATATTCATACTCATATTATCGACAAATACGTAACACATTGAAGTACTTAACAGATAGGAAAAAAAAAAGATTTCATTGAGTAACTTTTCATACGATGCCACTATCACACACACAGAGTAACAAACATTCCAACCAACTAAGCTAAATAATCGAATAAATGCAGCAGATATATGTCTAGTAAACCGCCTGATACATTGCTTATTATAACAACAAAAAAATCGATAAAATCTGTTACAACCACTGAATTTTTTTTTGTCTCTCTCTCTCGGTAAACTGATAACATCTGAATCAGGACACAAAATAAAGTACCTGGTATGAAGGTATTTGAATAGATTATTTTTTTTCCCTGATTAAAATGAAGAAGCATATATATAGAAAAAAAAGGGAGAAAAAAAGAGAAGTACAGATTAAATTTCCATATATATATAAATGTCAATGATTTTTAATTAGAAAAATAAAAATAATTTTTTATTATAACAAGGTTTTTGAATATCTGTTTGGCGCCAATCTTCCTTATTTTATGCCCTAAAATATGTAGGAATGGTTATAATACATTTGTATATTTTTCTCTTAAAATTTTGACTTTTATAATTTACTAATTCGTTGGATATGTTTCTTCTGATCACTTAATAGTAATAAAGATGAAAGGTTTTTTTTCTTTGGTTACGGTGTTCAGAATTGTGTAATAAACAGAAGCATTGTTTACAAGTAAATTGAAATTTTTGTATAATTGAAAAAATGTTTGCGAGGAAATGTTTTGGTAAACAAGATATTAATTAGTTGTACGAGTATTTCTCTTCTGTATGTTGATTTTTTAAAAAGTATACTGGATAATCACATTCATCAATTTTTAGAAACATTTTTACAAGGTTTAACGTGCAAACACTAATTATGTTTTCGTACAGTAAATGTTTGATTTTGTTCAGAGAAGAATAGGTTATGTTTCACCTGCTACTCAGCACTTAACCATTTCATAAAGAATATTGCTGAGATATAGAAGAAGATGTAACATAATTTATCTAAGACTAATGTTTTATTATTTATGACAAACATTTAGTCTTATTATCTGATTTAAGATACTTACTTAACTTAACTTGTTAACTGTGCATTCATTAACAAGTTGGAAACATATCGACGTCGCAATGAACAATTAATTAGATAAAATATAGTTATAAAATACAAAAGCTTAAAATTAATGTAGGAAAAACAACTATGGACATCAATCGAGGTTACTACCAAACAAGCTTGAGAAATATACATGTCCTATAAAGTCTAGATCGATGAAATGCAACTTGAGAGTTAAATTACTCTTTTAAATATAAGAAATGACCGAAAAAGGGTATTAAGATGTCGAATAACGCAGAGATTTAAAGTTAGAGCTACACATATAAGCGAACAATATTATTTTCGATTAGGTCGTCATCAGGCTTTACTCTAATATACATGAATATTCATGTATATATTAGAGTAAAGCCTAATGGCGATCTAATCGAAAACAATATTGTTCGTTTATATGTGTTGTTCTAATTTTTTGTAATGGGAATCTTTTTAATATATATTTAAAGTTACTAACATACAGGAAATGTTTTCGGAGGTCCTAGGCTGGATTATTACATGCTGGTCGGTAGATGTACACTTCTGAGAAGTCGCATAAAATTACGAAATGGTTTTCAAGTGCTTCCTGCTTCTCAGCTTAGATCAGTTCATGGTTTTAACTGTGGAGAACAGTTCACATAACTCCTTCATAGTTTTCTAACTCATCAATAGTTTATTACGGAATTTTATAATGAGTCGCATTCGAAGAATACGTGTTTTTCTAACCTCAATACACATATTTTTTCTGACTGTGACTCAGTTAAAATTCATTCGTTTGTGTAAGATTATTTCATATTTTACTTTAGAATTTATCAAATAACTTTCACCAACGTCTTAACTAAAAATAATTCATACCAATAATTAAAAAAACGTTTTTAAAATTTATATATATATCTGCATTTTCATATTCTTTTAAAATTAAAATAAAATTAACCATAACAATGATAATAAACTAGATAGATGTTGATATCATTATTTACAAGACAGAGAAAAAAACACACAAAAAACAAATGACTAGTTAATACCAGTGTTTTTCAATCTGTAGAAATCATCAAGTCAAGTTAAATGTATCTTGCCTAAATGAAAAAAAAAAGAATCTTATCTTTCATTATTTTTTTGATCCTTCTCCACCTTCTTCTTTTTCTTCTTCTTCAAATAGTCAAATATCATCACAAATCTCTTTTACTCTAATACTTGTTAAATCATCATTTATAGTTGATTTGTTTTGTAGCATTGTTTCATCACATGGTTGGAGTTGTTTTAAAGGTTCATTACAATCTACACGATTATTTAAATGTGGACGCGGTTTACTGCCATGAAATGAATAATAATAATGTGAATTTTTACTTCGATTCAAACCTTGATGATGATGATGATTAGTCCATTTTAATGAATTCGTTGATTTGAATTGTGAAATTTTCAAATTATTATTATTCTTATTATTATTTTTATTATTATTAATACATGAGATTGGTTGAAATTCTGAATGTGCCAATGCAATGGAATTCAATAAACATCGATTACTATGCATATTATTATTATTATGATGATGATGATCCGTGTGATTCCATCGACATAAACAAATAAACATACGATTTAAATAACCACGAAAACCTGGCAAACCAACAGCATAAATCATGATATTAATGATTGAATCAAATGTAAGCAACAAGTCTGCAACAAGTTTAGCTAGTTGAAATTCAATTTTCAATTTTGTATAATGTTGTATAATGACTAAAATAAAACTAGGTGTTTGAAAGCATAAAAATGAAATAGCTAAAAATAATATCGTTCTAGTTGCTTTCATTTGATGTCGTCTACGTACATTAGTGACTTCAATGATTTTTGTATCACGCCATGGTGAAACATAGAAAGATATAATAAATGACATGATTAAAACAATCAACGTTGGCGCAATAACTTGAAATATAAAAAAACAATATGCTTCATAGTTGATTATGATATTTTGATCTAGTAAAGCGTCAATATATGTTACAATGGTGGTTTTTTCATGAAAATCATTAGAGAAATCTAAATTATTTGTACTTGATGAGAATGTTTCATGTGGTTGTGCAATCAAACTATTCATTTGATCATCACTCAATGGATTACAAATAATTGCATAATCATAAAATGCACGCACAATAGCAAGAAATCCAGATAGAATCCATAGAAATCCATAAATGAATTTTATTGCTGAATGAGAAAGTATACGTCTTTTACGTATTGGATATACGACTACTTCTGTACGAGCCGACGTAATCAACACGTTGCACCAATTACGTGTACATAATGAACAATCAGAGCCCCAATTAATAAGAGCAAATAAAATAAATTCTGTTGGTTTAATCATTCGTGGATTAGATGAACAAATAAGTTGTGTTGTATATTCTATACAAACAAAAAAATGAAAAAGTACTTCCGTTGCTGATAAAACCAGCAAACTTGTTCGCATAACCGATTTTCTATGTTGTCTTGAAAATACCGAGATACATAATCCATTTAAGATTAAAGCAATTATGCTTAATATTAATATTGGTAAAGAATATACAAATTTTGTGATACCAGTTGAACTTATATTTCCACTACATGTACTATTATATTCTATCCATAAAGTTCCATCAAGCATAATCTTTTATTATGGATATATATAAGTGTATCTTTTAATTTTATTTGAAACCTACTACTAATACATTTGTAAATGATGCGAAAAAAATGAATTAAAATTTAAGACGTTAATCATAAAAATGAAATGATGTAGTCATAACTTTTGGAATTATTTGATTGGTTAACATTTTTAACCAATCAAAATACGCTATGAAAAAGTTCAAAGACAATTCTACATGTGTAATTAACATAAAACTTATAGTGAGAAGAATAAATTTCTACACTGAAAAATGATATCCAGATGAAAATATTTGATAAGCAATGGTTAATTTAAATCTATGTATGGTTTTCCATTTAGTACCTCATCAGTGTAAACTTTAAATGTTCAATGTATTGAAATATTCAACTCAAGATGAATTAGATTGTGGAAACAAAGAAAGGCAACTACTTGTGTAGTTATAGATGTCTGTATATCATTTATTCAAAATGTTATATCTCTTAATCTTTGCTTTTTAAGAAACAGTATAACTTGTGGTAGCTGATTGTAATAATCTTTTTTTCACTGGTGTTTGTATTTATTTTTAAGGAATATTCGCGAAATTTTTTACTCATGACCAAAAGCGATTATTCAATCTAAGCAGAGTTATTGCATGTTAGGAATAACATGTTCATTTAGATGAAATTAAAGTTTTTCTTTACGTCTGTGGAGTTTAAAACGAGTTTAAAACACGTTTCACTGCCTTAATAATACTATAGACGATAACTTTTCTAAAATATAAAACTTATTAGATTGTTATGACTCTGTGCAGACATTCTGTAGTGAATGAGAACTCAGGTGGGGGCAACCGAATTGTATTTAACGAAAATTACAGAGTTAGTCAGTAAAATCGGAAAACCATATCGTAAATCGTTCATTTGCAAAAGATCAGTTCATCCTATGGAACTGGACTGTTCCTGTTGCCAAACATCAATCCATTGTCACTCTTCATGCGTTTCATACAAATTCCATTGTTTTCTGACTCTTCCTTTCTTGATCTTCCCCCCCATATTATGCTACCAGACTTTACGTTGACACTCACGCTATATACTACTTATAAGTAGTTCGCAACACAGCACCACACTCGTCCCCCCTTTTAATAAGCTGTCGTCGTGGTCCTTCAAAACAGAGCTCCTGGTCAGTTAATATCAGCTTCCGTATTCCGTGACACGCTACACTATGCCGGATTAACAATTCGGTCATCGTTCTTGATCACTGGTCTGGAATGGATACGGCATCTATCCAACGTGTAGCGTCCACAAGTTCCCGATGCTGGAACACGGCGGCAGGCACACACTCGACAAATTGCGACGCCAAAGACTGTGCCCCGCCCACTCCTCACGGCGCAATCCGGTGAGCTCCACAGCAAGCACCAACAGGTCACCATCGGCCGACATCCGCGCCAACCGGAACCTCTGCGGCGCCTCCTCCCTGTCCGCTGGGCTGTCGAACTCCATTATCAGCCGCCCGGTGACCGTCTCCCACGCCGTCTCCTTGGTGGCACCGTCCAGGCTGTCGTGCACCGCCTTCGCCTCACCTCCCCACAGCGTCCCCAGCACCGTCAACCCCGCCCCAAGCCCCCACCAGCTCCACCGTGGCCCCAAACTCCTCCAGGAAGCTCCGCCAATCTCCGTCCTGCAACTCCTTCGGCCACGGGAGCCCCTTCCTTCGAGCAGGCAGCGACACCAAATGTAGTGAATGAGAACTCAGGTGGGGGCAACCGAATTGTATTTAACGAAAATTACAGAGTTAGTCAGTAAAATCGGAAAACCATATCGTAAATCGTTCATTTGCAAAAGATCAGTTCATCCTATGGAACTGGACTGTTCCTGTTGCCAAACATCAATCCATTGTCACTCTTCATGCGTTTCATACAAATTCCATTGTTTTCTGACTCTTCCTTTCTTGATCTTCCCCCCCATATTATGCTACCAGACTTTACGTTGACACTCACGCTATATACTACTTATAAGTAGTTCGCAACACAGCACCACAATTCCTCTTGAGTTATTGAGGACATTATTTCAAACTAGGTGACAAGATGATCGAATTCGTATATTTTCACCATTCCTATGGGTAAGTATCCAGCTAGTATGATGATATGCTCGTTAGTTGATATGCTTGAATGATATTACGAGTTCACCTTACTCGGTAAACAGAGCGCAGATAAATGATTCAGTGACAGGATAGGCTATTCAAAGCCGCTTATCCCCGGCCAGGCTAACTATATCAAGAAGTCTAGATAAGGCATAGAAAGTTTATTGTACAAGCACCCAGAAAATACGAGGTCGACAAGCAAACAAATCGAGTTTATTTATACATGATAGAAACGTCCTTCGGATAGCCACAAAAATAGTTTACTAAAATAATTCACCAACCAATGACAGTCAATGATTTTCCGACTGGGAAATGTAAACTGAAGGTCAACTAAGCAACTTATGCACGAAAACATAAAAAATCCAGAATTAGAAGCTTTTCCAAGAGAGCTCTGAGGATCTAATGTCCCCAACATAGTGTTGTGCTAGAGAACTCAGATGAGGCCATCAACAATTATATTTAAGCAAAATTACAGAGTTGTTAAGCATATGTAAAAAACCTTCCTGTGAAATCATCATTTACAAACAAATCCTTATTTGTTTCAGATTTCAGTGTTCTTTCATTTAGACTGTTCAGACTTCAGTTCACTTCATGTTACCTACAAATCGCCTTCTGTTCTCATTCTTTCCTTCTCTATCTTTTGCTTTCAGATGTTTGATTTCCGTTTGATATCATATACTACTTATGTGAACATAAGTAGCGTACACCACAGACAGACAGATACAACATAGAACTTCGTACATAAGTACATCAGTTCAGGTTGCCATACCACGTTAGCACAGAGATGTAACTGTCAGTTCAAATCCAACAGTGATAGCAATAATAGAAGTATTAGCAGTTATGGAGAAGATTAGGGAGCAAAGATATGATTCGAGAAGTATAATTCAGTGAGATAAATTTAGGAAGAGAAAGATTATGATGATGAGAAATTCAGAATATTAGAATTTCATAGAACACAAAGAGTGGATGCATCTGCGCCATTGCAAACGGTTTTGAGCCATATCGTTCAAGGTCTCTAAACCATTGGTGACATTCGTCTCGCGGACCCCAACCACGTAGCCTACATCTACCAACATGACTCAGTCCACTTGTTAGTGACTTCATGTATTTCTGCCATGTCTGATCTGGTGAATGTTAGATATAAATGAAAATACATTGAATTAACTTGTAACACCACCATATGATTTCATCAAATACGGAAATATGTACAATCTATAATGTATAGAGACTAGAAGAAGAAAGTGAGTATTATAAAGCGAAAGCTTAATATTTTTCATCTACTAATCACTAACATTCCTTGTTGAAATTGATCCTTACTAATAAATATGACCACTCGATTTTCTCAACAACATCATCATCATAATAAGTACTGTTATTATTATTATTATTTCATCAACAATAAATCAATAGTAGTTTATTTATTCACACAATAAAAGACAATTATCTTCTGTAATACTTGATGATTTAAATTAATATATATATATATATATATATATATATATATATATATATATATATATATATATAGTTTCATCTTACTGACCATTTGATGCCTATTTTTGTTTACAAGTTTGTTGTTCATTTCCCTCAATACGAGTAACAAACAAACAAGTCAAAAAATATTACTCGTGTTTGTTTGTTTGTTTATCTACTCAGTTTAAAAACAATGGACATCATCAACATCATCATTTAACAACAGTAACAATAATAATACTGATAATAATAATGATATGACTTACAAATGTAGATAGATATAAGATATTGTTTTCGAAAGTGTAATGACTTACACTGAATAAAAAATGTTTGTTACATTCTACTGTTTGAAAGAAGAAATAATAGAGATTTTGGTTGTTTTTTTTTATCTCTAAGATATGAATGATTTTATTTGAAATGTTATTTAAGAAAAGGCTTGCATAATAAATGAACATTTGATGCGTATATATATATATATATATATATATATATATATATATATATATATATATATATACGCAAACATTTATTTTTCTCCAGTTTTCAAAATGAAATTTCCCTAAGCTGTAATTATAATGATGGGATTTAGTTTGGTATAATTAATGTGACTTACGAAAATAAAATATTAGTCTTATAGAGAGAGAGAGAGAGAATGTGTAATTTGAACATCACTGATTGTGGTGAATGTTTATGGGGAAATTATCATGAATTTTGAATAGAGTTGATTAGAGAAAAGACGAAATGACTACTCATAGATTTAATAGTGCCAACGCAACGGTGCTAAAATCCAGTGCTAGTGGGACTGTGTAGTGTGCTCTGTGGAAGAATATAACACTGGAATGAAACAAGCTGCAAATGATTCCTAGATTTGAGTATTAAATATTCCCATTGTGAAAATTAGAACAACACATATAAGCGAACAATATTGTTTTCGATTAGATCGTCATCAGGCTTTACTCTAATATACATGAATATTTATATGATTTGAGTAGATTTTTTTCGTTGAAATTCTTGAGCCTTCAACGCTAATAACCAAAGTGTTTTTTTTCTGAAAACAACTTGGATAAAGAAGAATTGTCGCGTCTATATTTTTGGGCTTGTTACTTACTTACTTACGCCTGTTACCCCCAATGGAGCATAGGCCGCCCACCAGTTTTCTCCAACCAAAACTGTCCTGGGCTTGTTAGTACAAGTGTACAAATAATAATGAACTGTTTGGTAAGAAGTTGAAAAGTTTGATTCCTTATAGATAAAACTATTTTACACTTTGGTATGCAATAAGGATTACTGACAGATTAAAGTACTTTTTTTACAATGTTTAACTGCCCACTGGCTCTTCACTGAAAAGTTATTAAATCTGTAGAATCGTTTCTCAGTGTTTCATCAAAACTACTGATATTCAATGTCACTGTTACGCGTTACACCGTTGACTCTTTGAAAGCATCTCAAAATCTATGAATAAATGTCCAAAAATAC